GAGCACAGCGAACTGGATTTATGGCGCACCAGTATGGCGGAGCTTACTGCATCGATTCGCAGTCTACTGTCTGAACTCCAGCAAGCCGATGGAGTTGTACGTTCAATACCGGATGAAGCAGGATCTGCGTTGGGAAAGACGGGCACCACTCCCGCGCCCAGCCTCCACAAGCTCGTGGAGATGTCGGCGGTCATTGGTTGCGACGTTTTCCTGTGCAACTTCCAAACACGCGCGTTGGAGCAGGCAGACATCGACGAGTTGGAACAAATAAGGGCAGAAGTATCCAAACCAATTCAAGAAGCAATGGGCGCGGCTTACAAGGGAGTTCTGGAGAAATCCACCAAAGTTCTGGACAACCACGGAGTGCGCCCCAGGGGGCCGGAAGGGAGGAGACGCAACACCGGATAATACCGTATTGCAGTCGGAGGTGATGCCACAGCTGCTCCAGCAGCAGCAGCAGCACAGCTGACGGCGGCAGCAAGTTCGAATGGTGAAAAAGGTGAGAAAGGCGAGGTCACCAGCATCAAGAATGATCTGGGGTGGCGCTCTTCGCGGTACAAGGGGGCGCACCTCTGGCACGTGGCAGAGCCACCCGGGGCGCAACAAGGACAAGCAGCATGGGACTGGATGGTTTATCTGGATACGATGCGGTGGTGCACCACGGCGTCAGCGGCAGCTCGCGCGTGGAAGTGAATGCAAGATGCTGCCATGGGTTCCAACGCTGTCACTTTCGGATGACTTCACGACGCATGTTCTGGGGGGGCAATCCCGCGCCGGGACGCGCCGAGATGTCGGGGGGGGCCTTCTCGGGAGCCCATCGCGACGCAGTGCAGCCCGGCCGGGCACGTCGGCTTCGACGGGAAGATTGGACTATGGCGGCGACATGGATCTCGGACCTACGCGGCGAGGAGTTCAATGACCCAGAGGACTGACGCGCGCAGTGTCAAGCGCGCGTCCACGCCCCCACCCTCCGGCAGCCTCAGCAGCGAGCAGAGCGCTGCCTGCTCGAGCAGCGATGCTAAGGATTGATCGAGTGGCGTTACGGAGATATGGCGCATGATTGCGCAGGGCACCACCGCGTCGCGACGACGGGCATTCTGCGCGTTCCGCACGGCGGTGCCCGAGGTGCGCAGGGCCCCCGCGCGTCATCACGGCGGAATTCAGGGGGCACGCAGGGCGGCGCTTCGGGGGGGGGCCGCCGGGCATCCGAATGCGCGCCCAGAGAGGGCGTCCAAGTCTTAGGCGAAGATGGCCCAACAGGTATTGGGGGGGGGGCGACTTGTGGGGAGCGGCTCGAGATCTGGTCAGATGTTGAGCTTGTTTCAGATTGTCGGGTGGAGTTGCTCGGCGGCCCCTGCCTGGGCGACGCCTTTTAGACCCGCGGGGCTCGCGAAAGTTCCGGGCCCGGCAGCCGGCGGGGCCCGCTGCGGCGATGGCCCGGGCGGCGGGCGTCGGGGGGCATCGACGGCCAGGAGTTCGAGAGCGACCGCGGCCGCTGGGTCTGCGTTTGCTCCGAGAAATGGGCCGCGCAGCGGGGGGTGGCCCGCCGCGATTGCCCCGCTTTGCTGAGGCGCGACCTCGGAAGGACTGGCCGAATTGATGGGGCGCCGGGACGACGGCGGCCTTGTCAGACCACGCAATGGGCCCACCTTCCTCTTGGAGGCAGACGAGAAGGAACGCGCGGGCCCGGCGATCTCTTGCCGCGGCATCGCCAGGGGGTCAGGCATCGCATGAGGAAGGCGAAAAGGCTACCTCGAGCATCGCAGCCTTTCAGTGCAAGTATAGAAGGCTAGGTGCCCCCTCGCCCCGCTGATTCCCCGCGGCCAGATGGGGGGTTGTCGCGCGAGAAGGATTCGTTCCCAGCCTCGGGCGTATTCGAGGCCACGTGGCAAGAGCTGCATCCTTGACCTGAGGTCGACAGCGATCGCGCTGCCAACGTCGGCGCGCGGGGCAGCAGGTTTCCGATGCCAGAATCCCATATATCTCCGGCAGCGCGACGGAGCGCACCAACAATGGCATTTTTGTCCAGGAGCGGGCGCAAGTGCATCGGGGTGGTGAAGGTGCATTCTCTCGTCGGAGATCTCGAAGCGCTGGACATCTCAACAGGGATGCGCCCCGCCCACTCCAGTGAGGGTTAGGCGGCGGCGCGTCTGGCGGTTGGTCGCGGCGCCGGGCTGGGGCCAGGCGCGGGTGTCATCGAGCTGACGATCCTGTTATCGGTCATCTGGGGCGCCAGGACACCGCTGGCACATTGAACCTCGCGTCTTCGCCAGCCGCAACGGGCGAGGTGGGCCCCGTGGAAATTTGCACCCGGGAGGAGTTGCGTCAACGTGCCGAAGCGCTGCGTTGATCGACTCGGCATTGGCGTTGCCCTCTATGGGGGCGGTAATCATTGGGATGGGGCCTGCCGAGGTTTCCACGGCGTCCGCGCGCGGGGTCCGAGCTGCGCATGACGGCCGCGCTGTCAGCGGTCACGGCTTGCCGGCCGAGGGCGCCCATC